TGTCGTAGCCAGTGCAAAGACATTTAATTTCGTTAGGAATACAAGTCTATTTAAATTAGTATGCATAATTGAACGCTTGGGATTTTTATTATCTCTCATTTCTAAGAAAAGATATATGTACGTGTTCGTTATTATGCGATTTTCTTTTTTTTTTCTCTCTCTCTTTTCTTTTTTCTTTTTTTTGTTGTGTCTGTTTTTGTCATGCGAAATATGTAGATTAAAGGTTGTGAATATGCTAATTCGACTTTGCATGTTAAAGGTGTGTGTTGCTTTGCCTCTGAGGTCAAGATTTATATTTATACACAGAAACAGATAAAAACAAGAAAAAAAAAATAGTAAATAAGAAAATAAAATGTTTACGGCTCTAAACCTCGTTTATGAGTTTCTTCGAAGCAGGGAAATTCCTTGGCTGAATTTTGTAAAGTTTTTTTTTTTTTTTTTTGATGAAGAAAGAAAAAAGGGAACTTGATTTTTTTTTTCTGTTTTGTTTCGTTTTGATTTATTCTCGATTTATATCTGTCTGAGTTTTGATCTGAGTTCTGAGTCTCTCTCTCTTTCTCTCTTTCTCTCTCTCTCTCTCTCTCTCTCTCTCTCTCTCTCTCTCTCTCTCTCTCTCTCTCTCTCTCTCTCTCTCTCTCTCTCTCTCTCTCTCTTTCTCTTCCTCCCTTCCTCCCTCCCTCCCTTCCTCTCTCTCTCTCTATCTATCTATCTATCTATCTATCTATCTATCTATCTCTTTCTTTCTCTCTCTCTCCCTCTCTCTCTCTTTTTTTTTTTTTTTTTTTTTTTTTTTTTTTTTTTTTTTTTTTTTTGCTTGCCCACCCTCCCTTAGCCCTCCCAGCTCCGCTTGATATAAATTGCAACAAACTTATTGATTATTAGATTGCTGATAAAGGTTTCACGCGTGGCGGGTTTATTAGAATGTAATTTTTGGGATATTTCGTATTGCTTAACGTTGTGCTGTGGGATTTTTTTTATCATAATTTTGGCTTTGTTATTATTATTATAATTATTATTGTTATTATCATTACCGAATTCAGTTATTATATCATCTTGTCTTGCCTCAGCTCCAGATTATAATGGGGATGATGATGATCATCATCATCACCATCATCATTATCATCACTATCATCATCGACACCGTTATCATGATCATCATTAATAATCATCCTTATTGTTATTGCTATCGTTATCTTCGTCCTCATCATCATTTTTTTATATTATATTATTATCATGATCATCATAGTCATCCTATGGACGACCACTACAACAATAACAACAATAACAACAATAACAATGATAAACCAGTGAAAATTCTCTCTAATATCCTTCCATCTCCCCTTATACACATTCTTCACTAATTCCTTCTCCTTCTTCCTCTTCCTCCTCTTCCTCCTCCTCCAGGACAACATGACTTACGCCGACATCTGCGAGCGTCTCCAAGAAGTGTCTCCTGGGGCCACTGTTCTCGTGACGTCATCAGGCTCTGGGACTACAGGAAGGCGCACCTACCCGCTGGCGACGCTGAGGGAGAAGGACCCCGAGAAGCTGCCTCCTGAAGTCGATCCCGTCCATAAGGAGGTGGGTGTTGTAGGGGGGGGGGTGGGGCGGGGGGGATTGTGGGCGTTGTGGGCGTTGGGGAGGCTGTGGGGGAGGAGGGAGGGTGGAATAGGAACTCGAGAAGCTGCCTCCTGAAGACGATCCCTTCCTCAAGGAGGTGGGTGTTGTGGACGTTAGGGAGGCTGTGGGAGGCTGTGGGAGGAAGGAGTGTGGAGAAGGAACCCGAGAAACTGCCTCCTGAAGTCGATCCCGTCCTCAGAGAGGTGGGTGTTGTGGAGAAGTGGGAGGGGGGTGGGTAGAATTGTGGGGGCTGTGGGCGTTGTCAGATTGTAGTAGAGGAGAAGAACCCGATATGTGTCTAGGGGGTGGGATTGTGGGTGTTTATGGAGGTACGATTTGTGGGGATGTGGTAGAGCTGTGGGTGTGGGAAGATCAGGAAACTAGGTATTGTGGGGGAGGGGGGGGGTGAAGGATGGGCGGATGTAAGCGTGAGAAGAGAGAAAGGCGTGGCGTGTGGGGGAGGGGGAAGGAGCTTATGAGTGTAGGTGTTTTTGGACGTGTGTCAAGGTGCGCGTGAAAGTAGGAAAGCAGAGTGAAAGCTGTATTTTATGGTCAAGTGAGACGCAAATATATTAAGGGTTAAGGAAGAGGATATTACAGGTGCTAATGATATTCATATTTATCTTTTTTTAGGGGGGGAGGAGGGGGACGACATTCCTCCACCCGTATGTGTACAATCCCAAGAAATATCTCACTGAATACCCGTAGATGTATCATTTTTTTCTCCCCAGTGTCTTAGAGCCTTCCAAGAAGAGAGGATAAATTCCAGAGAAGGGAAATATGCTCTTTTCATATCCAATAAAGGTCACATACATTTTCTCCCTCCAAATAACAGTCATTGTGCATTATCGTGATTGCGGTAATTCCTTGCAGGAGATGTGCGTGTGTGTGTATACATACATACACACGTTTATGCACACACACACACACAGACACACACACACACACACACACACACACACACACACACACACACACACACACACACACACACACACACACACACACACACACACACACACATATATATATATATGTGTGTGTGTGTGTGTGTGTGTGTGTGTGTGTGTGTGTGTGTGTGTGTGTGTGTGTGTGTGTGTGTGTGTGTGTTCATGAACTGTATAAAAACGCAACGTTATATATGTATGTGTGTTTTATATATATTATTCAGATATTATTATCATTATTGTTATTACCATTGCTGTTGCTGTTATTTTTATCATTATTATTATCACTTGTAGTAGTAGTATTAGCAATATTACTAATACTTTTACCACCATTATTCTTTCCTCAGGACTTCCTCTCCGATGCTGACTTCATGTCCGTGTTCGGCGTCGGCCGAGACGGCATCGATTCGATCCCGATGTGGAAACGCAACAACATGAAAAAGAAGGCGGGACTCTTCTAGAGACTTCGTTTTAGACCCGCACACAGCCTTGGTTAAGGGCTGTTTTCATGGGTCTGGAGGGCGGGAGGCCATTCCCCCTTGGCATGGGGAAAGTCTGCTGCAAGGAGATCATCGTCCGTCATGCAACAATACTAATGAGCATGCAACATCAAGAACAACTGGTGCCAAAGTCACAGCCATCAGCGGAGGAGAAGCTGGAATACGAATGTCTTGACCCGGCTCTCTCTTCCTTTCACGTGGAGTGCACAACTCCTGCGACTCTCTACATGCGTTGTCTTGTTTGTTTTTATTTTTTCTCTTTTTTTTCTTAGTCTTTAAGGAGTGTACAAGAGTGCAAATGGTGTTTGATCCGCCTTTTATTGTTATTTAGGTTTATTTATGTATCGCAAAAATGTGAACATTTTTTTTCTTCAGAGGAGTGTATGAGAAAGATAAGTGTGGCATTGCCTGATTTTCCCTCTAGTTGGGATGACATGCAAGTCAGAACAAATTGGCTGACTAAACAATAATTGTATAAATCAAACGTCAATTGAATAATCACGAAAAAATCCCAAAGTCAACTACAATAAAACGTCTTTAACATTTCTAGAAAACAGACAAAAAAAAACACATTTTTCTCTTAAAAAAAAAACAAGAGAGAAAAAATTCTTATCAGAAAAAAGAGGGAGAGGGCGGGCAGAGGGGAGGGGTGAGGGGAGGGGTGAGGGGAGGCAACCGTATTCCTACTCAGCGCTTCCATTTACAGCATTTAAAGCGATTTTCGGCCTTAATGAGATTTGACAAATTATGGAGCGTGGAAAACAGTGCTAAGCAAGCCCGCTGTCTCAACTGTTGGGCTTCCCGCTCCCTCTCGCAACACTCCCTGATGCAAAATTATTATCTTTCTTTCCCTTTCCTCCGTCTAATTCTCCTTCTTTTCCACGTAATCAACAGAGAGAGAAAAAAATAAATAAACTACCAGCCTGTTACTGTTCTGAAGGAGAACGAAATGCACAATTTATATTTACGCGTTTCAGTGTCCATATCATAGTGAACCAGTTCAAGCTAGTTCCGTTATCCCGTTTTCTTTTTCTGAAGGAGGGGAAAGAAATAGTGGAGACGGTATCGACTTTTTTTCCCCTTGAATGGTGTCGCGTTGGCAAGAGATGAGTGAGGGGGAAGGGGGGAAGGGGGGGAAGGGGGAATGGAATGTCTAGACCACCACCCCCCTCCCCCTTCCCCTCCCCTTTCCCTTAGTTCAAGTCTTGTTTACGTTCTACGATTCTAATACACATGTTATTTTGTTCTTGTTCTTGTTTTTTTTTCTTGTTTCCATTGGCGGAATTTCTACAATGATCATTCATGGTGTAAATAAAAATGTCAGGAATGTCATACATCTTTTTTATTTTGTTTTACTCGCGTTTCCTTGTGTGTGTGTGTGTGTTTTGAGAGAGAGAGAGAGGGGGAGAGAGAGAGAGAAAGGGGGGGGGGAGAGAGAGAGAGAGGGGGGGGGGAGAGAGAGAGAGAGAGAGAGAGAGAGAAAGAGAGAGAGAGAGAGAGAGAGAGAGAGAGAGAGAGAGAGAGAGAGAGGAGATATACTGCACTTCAACAGAAGCCTCACAAACACACTAGGAAAAAAGCATGCGTAGGAAACGGCACAAAAAGAGAAAAAAAAATTCTTGACAACAGAATTTCGATGAAAATATTAGTTATAAAAACAGAACGTCATAAATATATATATAGAGAGAGAGATAGATAACAGATAAATATAGATGTAGATATAGATAACAGAAGATAAACAAGAACTGAAGAACACAACCACTAAATCAATATAAACATGCTTTTTTAAGTATCCAACAGTTCATAACTTTGCATACTATAAACTGAAATACTTTAAGAGAAAACATATCAGCATCTGCTCCACACAAAACAGTATGAATACCAACAATACCAGAGCGGTGTAAAGCGATTCTCACGCTCAAGTATTCTAAGAAGTCACAGCTCGCTTCCAAGTATTATTTTGTGCCGAATGTCGTATTTGTCTATTCTTATATATGCTTGTCATGTTTGGGTTCAGAGACAAAACAAGAGATCTTGATTAGCCTCTTGAATTAGTTTGATCCGGTTTGTTTTATACTTAAGCCAAAATGTTCTTCGGTAAAAAAAAAACACAAAGAGGTTTGTATAAAAAAAAATAAAAAAATAAAAAACACTACAAAGCTTCTAAGGCGTGGAGGGTGGGGGACAGTTTGTACAACGATACGATAGATATGATAAATATATATTGGTCTAATATAACACCTCATCGATACAATACGGATTTATATAATTCAATAAGCACACATATTATCAAAGCAGTGCCACAATGTGTGTCTGTACAGAGCTACATTCAGTAACGTAGTAACATAAGTTTTCACATTACTCTATCGCACCGCAGCAATACATCACACAAAACATCCTCTAAATAGAATGACACACAAGCAAACATTAAAACCCAAAAGATCAAGGCGTCCAAAATAATGAGGACATTCACATAAACTTTATGAATAATGAGACAAGGTGGAGCGCGCCCTTCGAGAGACCGCACCTCGGAAGGGAGATGACTAGAGAGGGCGAACGAAAAAAAACAAAAAACGGAGGAAGAGGGGACAAGAAACGGAGGGGGAAGGTGACGGAAGAAGGGGGAAAGGAGGAAGGGAAAGAAGATTTCAGGATGCACAAAGAAGATGGAGGCAAAATAGGGAGAAAAAAAATTACGTATTGAAAATGACATAAGATGGTGAGACAAGAAAAAAAACCGGGACAACAAAGAAGATGACAAAAAATCAAGACGTTAGAAAACATAGAAAAAACAGAGAACATAAAAAAAACAGAAAAAAAACGAGAAATGCCAAGAAATTAAACAAAGAAAGATCGGAGAAGAGACAGACAAAAACAGTCTCAGATCCTCTGTCTTTATTCCGTACTCCAAACCATGACAGTTCTGACAGCGTTTCTAATGGATCAAAAGGCGAGACGATGCACCAAAAATTGGATTCCGCAGAAAATATATACACATATACATATATATATATATATTTCCTTTTTTTCTTTCTTTTTTTTTTTTTCTTTTTCTTTCTTTTTTTGAGATTACGAGAGTATTACAGCGTCTGAGCCGAAGATCTTGATTCTTGAATTTCGTTAAGTGAGTTATTGCTGTTTATAGACTGATTTTCTCTACAGTTTTTTAATGGGTAATTTTACAGTAAAATGTGTGCACCTTTAAATATACTGTTTATCTATCGTGTTTGTTTTTACATAGATACTTAAATAAAGAATTAAAAGAATGATAAGACTTATGTAAATGAGAATGATGATAATGGGACAACTACAAGAACTGCAACAAAATTAACAGCAATAATAGTAATAATAATGATAATAATAATAATAATAATAATAATAATAATGATAATAATGATAATAATAATAATAATAATAATAATAATAATAATAATAATAACAATAATAATAATTATAGTAATAATAATAATGATAATGATGATAATAATAATAATAACAATAATAATGATAACGATAATATAATGATAATAATAATGATAATGATGGTAATAAAAATGATAACAATAATAACAATAAAAATAATGATAATAATAATAATAACAATAATAATAATAATAATAATAATAATAATAATAATAATAATAATAATAATAATAATGATAACAATAATAATAATAACAATAATGACAATAATAATAATAATTATAATAATAATAATAATAATAATAATAATAATAATAATAATAATAATAATAATAATGATAATAATAAAAATAACTAATAATGAAAATGATAATGATGATGATGCTAATTATAATGATATGATGATGCTAATGATAATGATATGATGATAATGAAATAATAATGATAATTATGACGATGATGATAATAATGCTGATGGTGATGATGATGATGATGATAATGATATATAATACTAATAATGATAACAACAACATCAACAACAACAAAACAACAGCAACGATAATAAAGACAAAAATGATAAGAATCGTCTCCTAATATTTCGAGACTGCGTGAAGACCAAGTGGCTTTTTGTGAAGAACAAATGGCTTTTCGTCACAAAAGGAACAGTAACTCATAAACCGAAGTGAGACGGCGAGAGAATCCGGAACTCTCAACGACCTTTAGAACATCATGAGAATCATGCAGCTGAAATATATATGTATATATATAATATATACTGCATATATATATATATGTATATATATATATATATATATATATATATATATATATATATATATATATATACATACATATAATTATATATACATATATATATATGTATATATATATATATATATATATATATATATATATATATATATATATATATATATATATAATTATATATATATGTGTGTGTGTGTGTGTGTGTGTGTGTGTATGTGTGTGTGTGTGTGTGTGTGTGTGTGTGTGTGTGTGTGTGTGTGTGTGTGTGTGTGTGTGTGTGTGTGTGTGTGTGTGTGTGTGTGTGTGTGTTTGTGTGTGTGTGTATGTATGTGTATGTGTGTGTGTGTGTGTGTGTGTGTGTGTGTGTGTGTGTGTGTGTGTGTGTGTGTGTGTGTGTGTGTGTGTGTGTGTGTGTGTGCATGTGTGTGCGTGTGTGTGTATGTGTGTGTTTGTGTGCACGTTTGTATAAATAGAAAACAAATAAATTCTCCAGGGTAAAATCAGTAACTAATACCTCGATAGTTATTTGCCAGAACCACTGAGACAGAATTAGAAGGACTTACGCTGTGGTCTGGAGCGACCCAATGAACACCGTGTTCCTGCCGCCATCGCTTCCTCCGTCCCGTTTCCCGTACCTGAAAGGAATTCGAAGTGAGTGCGGTAAGGACTATGACCTTGAGAGAAATTTTTCGAGTAAATAGAAGAAAAAAAAATGTTGTTGCATGGTTTTGTAAGCGATGGTAAACATTGTGAGGAAGCTTATGTATTTT